GCAAATTCAATACTGCCAGGTTTCTCTAGCTTGGGCAAGCGCCTGGCCTTCAGCTATAGCCGTGGAGCATCATGGCGGCACTTGGCGGCTGAGTTCCATGTTCAAGACACCTTGCTATAACTTTTACACTTTGACATTTTGTTGCCAAAAGACTATAACACACTGTGAGCAAATCCCAAAGAGGTTGATGCCTAAAAAATGACAGAACCTTCCGGGCCCAGGAACCTTGCACGGAGATCATAAGGGATGCTACTGCTGCCTGGCAAGATCTACACAGTGATGGCGCCATCCGTCCCCGTTGCCCCATTCTTGACGGCCTCAGGAAAGTCGACCCACGCCATTCTGAGCCTTGCCTTGCAACATACCTGAAAACACTTTACCTATTCTGCAAAACCTGATGTGAGCCAAATAAAAGGGGTTTAATGAGTTGTTCAAAGCATCATGTATCACTTTTGTTTTGGTTGATTTAAGGAGGAAGGAGTGTCCAAAGTGCTGCAAAATCTTGGCGTACGGTATCCAGTGGAGTTCTCCTACAACGATGTGGGCAGCTACCCAAAATTTCCTTGGATTAGACCATCATCGTTTATCAAAGCCCTGAGTGAGACTGGAGATTTGAGCCGTCTGCTGGGAGGCCACCAAAAGCTTTGTGACGCAGAGCCACTCATCGTGGAGTTTTGGTCTAGACATCGAAAAACCCAGCCGCATCATGGGATCTACAAGAAGTTCAACAACCAGCAGTTGAAACAATGCATCCCGATTTACATCCACGGGGATGAGGGAGTTACCTACACGCGATCTGGTGTCCTGATCCTGAGCCTGCAGACACCCTGGGGAAAAGGCAGTGGCAATGCAACAGCTGTAAATGACGTTCCTCCAAGCGACCTTGAAAATATTGGAATCCCGCTGAACTTTCTTCAGACCACTCTGCAGACTCGCCTACTCGCTTTGCTTGCCCCAAAGGACATTGGTCATGTAGCACCCTAGAGCCCTTTACTGCTGGGTTGAATCAATTCAGTTTACGAGTCCCTTTAGTTCCTTGAAGCGTTGTGCCTCCCCCATTCACAATTCTGCTCAACAAAATTGGAGGAGATGTACCAGGATGACCAGCTGGTTTGGGACGCATTGTTCAAGCTGGTTATCGATGACTTGGCCGAGGCCCAAGAACATGGCATCGCTCTTCAAGACGATTGCAAGCTCTACCCCATTGTGCTGGGCAACAAAGGGGACTGGAGCTATTTGGACTCTTGCCGATAGTTTGGAGTGTCAAACCATGTGGTATTTCCCATTGAAACAATATACATTTAGAATACCCCTCTACATTTAGAATACCCCTTCCCCTGCCTGACAATTCCAAACATGTGTCATTGCCAAGTGATCAGTGGTCAGGGTTTGTTTGATTCCTCCTAGGTGACTTCCGGACATTTGGAGAGGTCTTACCGGCGTGGCCCCAAAGGTGAAGGAAATCACAGCACTGCCCCCGCTGCTGGCATATGCCACCTTTGCGTGGCAGGAACTCCGAACAATGACTGGGAAGATTTGACCTTGGAACGCATTTGATCACTTTGGGAATCATGTCTCCTGCATGTGGTGTAACCGTTTATTGTCACTTGCTTATATGACTACAAGTAGCTTGAGTGGTCTCAAGTTGTTTTTTAGTTTCAGAAGCAACTCAGCTTGAAGGGTTTCCTAAATGCTTTAGACTACGAACTGCCCAGGAACAAAGCCGAAGCGATAATCCGCGACGCTGCGAAGAACGGGGCACCTCTCCCATTCAACAGTGACTTGGGGGACTACTTCACCACCCGGCTGTTGCACAATGAGGGTCCGAATGGCAAGGCTGCTTTTCACAGACCCGACGTGTGGCATGTCGTGTGCATGGGTATAGGCAAAGCTTGGCTTGCAAGTTCAATGCATGTGATTCAAGAAGAGCGGGTTCTGCCAGGAAGCTCCTTGGACGCGAGGTTTGCAGCTGTATCGCAGGAGTATCTTCAGTTTTGCCGCTCTACCCACAGGACAGCGTATGTCAACAAGCTTGATAAGCAAGTGTTTGGACCTGGTGGCAAGGTAGAGCCTACAGGTGCATGGAGCAAAGCCGCGTTCACTGTCACTCTCGGTGAATTTTTGGAACATTTTGCGGAGAATCATAAGGAGAAGTTTGCGGGCAACCACAAGCTGGAAGCCATCGAAACATGTCATTGGTTTGAGCGCCGGTTTGAAATTTATTTTTCTTTTTGGTACACCCAATGTACTGGAAACAACGTATTTTCCAACCATTGTGAAACCAAGGCCGCTGGCACCCGTGCTCTTGGGGATTTCATGCGGGGGCTCTACCACAACGACCTGTGGATTGAGTCGGAAAACGCGCAGAACATAGCTGCTTCGGGCCTTTACTTCATCCGCGCTTACATGTACATGGCCAAAGTGAGTATGGAAGAACGGAAACCGCGGTTTGGCCTATACCCAAAACTGCACTTTCTTCATGAAGTTGTGATGGGTTTGCAGCTACAGGCAGAAATCCCTCAGGTGCGATGGGTTTATAACCCAATTGCAGAGAGTTGCGCTGAAGATGAAGACTTCATAGGACGGGTGGCGTTTGTAACAAGATGCGTGTCCCCGCGCTTGACGGCACTTAGGTCGCTAGAGCGGTATGCTGTACACATCCGAATGCTCTGGTCGTGATGCAGTCTGCAAGGTGAAAAAGCGCTTTCCAACTTATCTTTTGCAATGTGCTTTTGCATCCATAATCATCCTATATTATGCAACCCTGTCTGGAGTAGAAATAACCGTTCGGGAGTAGAAATAACCGTGCGGGAGTAGAAAACACCGTTCAAGTGCTGAAAATGGTCGTTTTTCTTGCTGGAGTGGAAATTTCAGCTCTGAAGGGGTACCAGGTAGGTTTTAGGAACGAGCGGGAACGGGGTTTGTTTCCAGTTGAAGCCACCAGTTGGATGGTTCAGTTCAGGGGATGAAAAGTGGAACGTGCATGTTGCTGTGCCTTGGGTTTTGGGTAGGCGGAACTTGGCAAGCAGTTTCACAAGACAAACACCACCACGAAACATGTCCAAGTGCTCAACAAAAGTTTAAGGCTGCCGCCCAGTGCCGCCTCTCCCCTTTCTCAAGCTGGACCCGATGCCTTTGTTGAATTTCTTTGCCTATAGTCAACAAACCCACGTTCTGGCTCCAGGTTTCTCGAAATACCAGCCAGTCTTTGCCCAGTCCTTTACTGTAGCGTGGAGGGCCATTCAGGGGATCGAACCTCTACACCGCTGCCAAAACCTGACTGAAAGAGGCAACTTGCTTGGGTGCGGGCAGGTTCGAGGCTGAACACACTTCCCGCAAGGCACACAGAAATGGCCTAGAGTGACATTTTAATCCTACATCACAAAAATAGAGACGAATCGATGCCCCCAGCATCACCGTTGGTCGACAGGCAAACGGTCAACACCCCCAGCTTGTTTTGACCACGGAAAGAGAGACACCCCCAGCATCACCACTATTTGTCAAGAGGCTTCAAACAGCGCAGGGAAAATGGCCCACAGCCATCAAGTCTTTGGAAGGTCTAAACTGCCACCCTTCCCATTCGCCTCCCCTTGAAGAAGTCGGCGCAAGTGGAAGTCCACCATTTTTCTTCCGGACCCGGCAACATGCTCCCATGTTGAGGAGCGAGCACCTGGCACTTCGCAATTTTGTCCGTTTGTTCGGACTGGGCACGCGAAATGTTTGGCGGTTACCCAAAACCCTTAGAATGTCACAACGCAGCAAATACATTCTGTGTTCATGTATTGTACCCTACTGCAGGCCTTGAGCTCTTACTACATTTGAACATGCCCAGCAAAAAAGAGGTGCGTTGCAGACTACAGGTTTGAGAGTTAATTGGAACCAAAACGGCACTTATTCGTCAGGCCCAATACAGGAGCAGGCAACGGATGAGCTACAAGTGAAGTGGTTGAGGTAGTCCCTGATGAAGAATTCCAAATGACCATCTTGAAGAAGTTGTTGGGTGCCGTCAGTAGTATGTAGGCGTCCTTGGTAGCAACTACTACCAAGAACGACTACATACCACTGACGGTGCTGCTCCCTAACCACTACGTCCAGCAACTTCTTCGAGATGGTCGTTTGAACTTCTGCCTCAACCGCCCCACTATAAATTTGAGTGACTACGCACTACCCATCAACGACACCCGCTCCATCCGGTGCAACTTCAATGCTTTCAGCAACCACTACGCGCTCAACAGCGGCTTTGTCTGGGACCATGATACGAACCCACTACTCCAGTTCTCCCAATCAACAGAGCTGCGAGATGCAGACTACTGAAGACGACTGAGCACTACGGGCACCAGTTGCTCACCACGACACACAGCTCACCGCAACGTCACCAACCACTACTCAGAGTCATGATGCTCCAGCAACTACACGTGCGCATGCCTGTCTATCCATTGAAGGACTACAGGCGAATTCGCAGCTCCGGACAACTTCTTCAAGGACCCTGCTTTGCTCCAAGAGCTGCCGCAGATGAAGCAACAACAGCAGCTACCTGATTTTTTGATGGATGCTACAACCAGGGCTTGCGGAGTGCAATTCAGTTCCGCTACACTGACAACGTTGTTCTTTGAAGGATATTTGAGACTACCGGCGTGAGATCTGGAACTCCTTCCTTCACAAGACGACAATCAAGTGTGTAAGCGCCGTAAGCGCTCTAATTCGGGCACTTACTACATTCCCAGCAAAAGAAGTGCGTTGCGCCGCTTTGCGCCCTGCGCGTGGCGGATGCCGGGGCTTTGAAGAGGGCGCGCTAGCGCGGGCTTCGGCGCACTTTGAAAGCGACGAAATGGCCAGACCTCTAGATTTGGAGCACGGATGGCAAGTTTTACATTGAATTATAACAGAGAGAGAGAGAGAGAGAGAGAGAGAGAGAGAGAGGGAGAGGGAGAGAGAGAGAGAGAGAGAGAGAGACCCAAGGCCTTCGCATGTTTGGAGGGTTGGTCCATTTGTCCAGCCAGGTGATCCTTCAAGCCATGGGCTCTATGGCGCCCGAGGCGCGCCTGGAGCTGCGGACCAAGGTGCCCGGCGCTGAGGAGTTGCCGGACTGTTTTGCTCAAAAAGGAAGCAGAGGGTGGCGTTTGTGCAGTTTCTGCTTCTTCGCAAGTGTTTAGTCAATGGTCTTTGATTTTGTTTCTTGATTGTGTTTTGCTGGCATGACTTTCGTGGACAAAGGATGATCTTGGAGCCTGTTTAGCCAACCCCCGACCCTTTCATGCGGCGTGTTTTTCGCTTTGGGTAGCCGCCTTTTCGATTCTGACGCACAGACACGTGTTTTTTGGTTGATGGAATCCAACATTAGCTCTCGCTGGAAATTAAAATTTCCAGGTCTTTGAATGCTTTCTTTAGGTTTTTGTTGAACGAACAAATCAGCCGAAAAATGGTTAAACCGGACAGCCAAAGACTGCTCATGTTCCGACCCTTTCACAGGGTTGCTCCTATTGGACTCTTTGGCCTCCTGCGGTTTCGTTGTAATTTGTGTCAGGAACGGGGCGTTAGTCTTGTGCAATTACGGGCAACCGGTGCTGAGGCTGGGCTGGCTCGGGGAAGTTGTCCCCAACACGCAGCAGGAGAGCGTCCAGCACACCGGGGCGGGGCTGAATTCGACAGTGGACGATTTGTGGGAGGAGGTGGTGGTGAAGAACAAGGTCGCCCTGATCTATGCCTGGTGCTCGGATGGAACACCGCTTTGCTTTTCTTGCTGGTTCTCAGGGGCCTTAGGAAGGGGTCACTCCGCACTCCTTGCTGAGAGCCAACAAATTTGCGGAAGTGGAACTGGACAACTGCAACTCGGCAGGTCGGCTTGGCAAGACTTGACTATCCCGCAAGCTGGGCAACAGCTTGGCAGGACGGCATAAAGTATGATGCTCTCATTTTGACCCGGGATTCACAAAGCCCAGGTGGATTTTTAGGGGTGTCCCATGCTACAGGTGGGAGACAGCCCCCAATAATTCAGCAAGTTGATTTGTGCCAGGTTATAATTCTTTGGCATTGGCTGGTTTGCCATTTCTTTGGCAAACAGGTGAGGGACCATGAGGCCTCGACGGGCCAAGGTCTTGTCACGGGGCTCGGTTGAAACGTCCACTGTGTGCTCGGGTTTCAGTCACATTTTGAGCCTGGCTCACATCTTCGACAGGACCTGATGGGTCTCATGGACAAGGGGTGCGGGCCTTGGTCCATTGCCCTCAAGGAGGATCCCACCTACAAGAAACAGACACCCGCGTTGCACTCTCAATGCTTTCAGTGCCAGACTGCGCAGGCTTCCGCTCGTCGACTTCTTTCTCAGAGTGGGGGTGCCAGAAAGCCGCATGCCATTTTTTCTTGGGTCTTGTCTATTCTGCATCGTCTTAGGTCCTTGCGATCTTTGACCAGGAGGTCATAAGTGATGAGGTTCAGCGAAGTCAGGAGGACAGCGGGTCGGTTCATGGGCACTCTAGCTTTGGCTTTGTCTCAAGGTGGGACCATGGTTTCCTCTTGGTTGTCCTTCAAAGTCATTCCTAGTGGGAGGGAATCTTCAAACAACAAGGTACAATCATTGCAACATGGACATTTGATCGAGAGTCCAAGAGACCAACCACAATGTCGGATCGAACGTTTCCCCACCACGATCGAACGTTTCACCACCACAGCTCTGGACCATAACCTTTTTGACTATGCCCCACATAGGAACCAGAAGGAGTAAATCAAGTGGCACATTTAAATGAGAGCAAATCTAGCCAAAGGCTCTGGTATGATTCCTAAGGCTTTTGTATGATGTCTTTGATTTTCTGGTTCCCTTTTAAAGCAACCCTAAAGAGGCGGCAGGTTTAAACAGTTGGGACAAAATGGCGGGGCACTCTCACCTTGCCTGAGCACCCAAAGTCAAGGGGAGGTTTCTCCTGCGCCGCCTGTTTTGTGTTCTGCGCAGGACCGGCAAAGAAGCCGAAGCCTCACTTGCGTGAGTGATATTTGCCATGGTCACACACCTTTTCCCCGACATCCGTGGATGCGTGGCACGTTTCGAGGAGGCTTCCCGGATGTATGGGTCGGTGCTGAGGAGGTTCCAGGGATGCATGAGTTCCGTGATGCATGGGGCGATTCCAACGCCTGAGAAAGGTTCCGAAGATGCACAGGCCGGTTCGAAGCAAGGTTCCGATGCAGGGTGCGGTTCCGAGGTTCTGGGTGGTTCCGGGGATGCAGGGTGCGGAGGCTTCGGGGTGCACGGGGCAGTCCGAGGGTCACGATATTCCAGGGATGCATGAAACGGTGAGGGTGTTGGTGGTTTGCGCAATGCACACGGTGCTCCGGCTTGCCTCTGTTTGCGCGCCAGGTGTCTTTCATATTGGCAGTGTCCCAAACTTGCGAGCAGCAGCAAACCTGTTTCGCACTCCGGCTTGCATTTGTTTGCAAGCCAGGTAATGGTAGTGTCCGAAGCTCGCACGCAAAGTCAAGCCTCAGCACCCGGGGCGTTCGTGGTCTTGCACGAGCGTACGTCTGGGTCAGCCGGCGGGAGCGCGAAGGCAACCCCAGACAGGAGCGCGCAGGCCATGCCAGGTACCATTGTTATATCTAGTGGTGTCCGAAGCTTGCGAGCTTATTGTATTTTTGTGGGGTTACTAGCCATGGGACCCCTTTCTTTGTAGACAGCCATGTAAGTGTTTGCAATTGGCGTAGTTTTGACTTTGGCATGCAGACTTTGCACTTCTGCATCTTCGCACGGCTCGGATGGACTACTTAGGTCACCAAATCAAGCACGCCATGCGCGAGCGCGGCTTGGACGCACTCGTTCATCACTGGTTGGAGAACGGCCTTTCCCGTTTGCTCTGGTGCAGAGGTGACGTGGTGGCATTGGTGGAATGCTGGTATCGGCCCGCACCTAGAGTTCATGAATTTGGACCAACATGCGTTCCAGCTGTGCAGCTTGCCTCCTATTAGGATCCTGACTACGCTGCGAACTTCTGTAACGAGCTCAGTTTTGGGTTTGCTCCAAGTTGATCCAGAAGTGACCTTCATACCGCTGCTTTGCGGGGAGTGTTTGATGCTTGGCGCTTTCCTGCTTGCTTTGCAGCTAGGCTCCGCAGATGGTGAGCGATTGCTTGCGCCTGACTGAGAAATTATTCAGATTTGGTCATCCAGCTGCCATAGTCAGCCAGCCGTTTTCCTGCTATCAACTTTAGAAGGATGGTCATCCACACCCCCATTTGGAAATGGGTTCTCAAAGGGGAGCCGTGATCCGTGCAAGGATCTTGACCATGGCTCAAATATGACGGCAAACTCACCAGCGTGTCGTGCCTGCCTTGAGGAGGGTAGCATCTCTCTACATCGTTTGGGCTCAGCCCCCAGTCTTAGAGCTATGATGAGAGACATGTGAACGGTGTAGAGCTTCAGAGCGACCTAGATCGAGATCCTCACCGTGGCGAACGATAAGTTTCTCAGCAGGGATCGCAGTTTGTCACGGCATACACTGCCAGGACAAAAGTTGCGCCTCTTGGGCCTTGCCGGGTCATGCGTGTGGTCGAACTAAGACTCTTCAAAGCCTTTAGTAACAATTGACCATTCCACTGCTACCACACAAAACACAGTTGTACATTCGCTCCGCGGGTGGGGCAATACGGCTTTGCAGAAACAAATAAGAGGCATACACATTGTCCTCCTGAAATATACCCTTCAAAGTGCGTATGGACCGGGAGAGACAAGGCGTGGAGGCTGCTCAGAAGGACATGTGGGTATGCGAAATCTCAGGACAGGGAACCCCAAAGAAGTGATTTTCCTTAAACCCAGAAGGGTACCCTCAACACACGCACACATATTATCCATGAGGCGCGGTCTGCAGCATCATTGCGGAGGCTTCAGCCAGTGCCAGCGAGGCTCCGGACGTGTAAACCTTGTGGAACATATTTTGTATGGAACCCCCCTCTGGGATCTTTGCAAAGACACATGGCTAAGAATTTTCAGAGGGAACCACCTCGCAAAGTTGGCCACACCTACATGATGCATACCCACCTCGCGAGCTCTTGCCTAGGCGTGCGAGTGCCTGGCGGCCATCATTAGCAAGAAGATGCCGGCGGGCAAGAAGGCACCCTCCAAGTCGAGGAGCATCGTGTTTTCATGTTTGGCCAGAGGCTCCGGCGATCACAGATTTGGTTGGCCCTTGAGAAAAATACCCGGAGGTCACCGGAGTATTGACCTTCCACAACGACCAAGGGAGTGGGGGGGGGATATGAAGCAGAGGTCAACATGAGTGGTTTTTGGCACCGTCTTCTTAGAGGTCGGAAGAGACGGTTTCGAGGTGCTGCGAGGAAGGCGGCCAAACAGATATTCGGTGTTCCCCTGAAATGGTTGGTTTCCTATTGGTTTTCCCTTAACCAAACCAATACTGGTTTTCCTTATCGAGCTGGTGTTCTTGCTGCGGACTGGGATAAGGATTCGGCATCTTGCCCATATTTCGAACCGAATCTTGGGACCTCGGGGCCTTTTGGGGTCCCCTCACTCCAGTAACGACCCCGGAGCGGCCACATCCTGCCAGATGATGATGCTCAGCGAGCTGCGTGTGTGTGCCCGTGCGGCGTCCCAGAGACACGGACAAGGAAGATTCCCCCGCGTCATGCTGGGGACAACGATCCGGCAACCAAATTTCTGGAATCATTTGCTGACTCTTGGAAGATGAGGGTTTGCTTGGTTGTTGCTTGGTGTGGCAGCTTGTTTGGGTGCTTGCTTTCTTGTGTGGTTGCTTGGTCGCTCGCTCGGTCGGTCCGGTTTCACCTTTCCGATCAGTTGTCCTCACGGAACCCCAAGCGTCAGGGCCCAAAGTTCTGAGCTTTGAATGTGGCACAGGTCTCGAAGCTTGCGTGCAGAAGGGGGGCACGAGCCAGCAGCCTGGGACCTGGCGACCTGGCGACCTGGCCAAATCTTCTGGGTCAGCCGGCGAGGCTTCTCAAGGAGGCGGAGATGCTCAACTCCATTGCGGAGGCCGGAATTTGGCATCGCCATGCTGCAACGACTACATGGTCATTTGATGTTTGTTTGAGGCTCGGTACCCTGTTCAGCTTGGCAAAACCAAAAGGAAGCCGCCACTTTGGGAGCATCGCTTTGACACAACTCCAATACAGTCTGAAGTCAGAAACCCACAAGGCAGTTGCATGGGTGAGCTCGAGTGACCCCCCCCTTTTGCCATTGCAGGCTGGGTCTAGGTCTTTTTGCCACGTCCCAGGCGGTGTTGGAGGCCTATGTGGATCTCCGCGTCCAAGATGCGCAGAGCGCCAGCGCGGCACAGGCGAGAGTCTCTTTGGCACCTGGTTTTTTTTCGTTCCCCGAGAAAGAAGAGACATGACAGACCACATAAATCAATGGTTTGGGAGTCCTGCTATGGTTTGATAGACATGATAGACCTCGCCCTATAAAGCAATCTGGAGGTTTTTGACAGACACTTGTCAGCGAGCCGCAGCTGGGTCGGCGTGCAGGTTGCCTGGGACTCCATCAGTGCCTTGATGCCACTCATCTTCTGGTTCTTTGTGCATCAAGAGCCTAGCGCTTAGATGCAAGCAATCAACTCAAAAGGAGCTTTCACCTCTTGTGGAGGAGGACTGCATCCCGCGCAGGCATCAGATCGCGGTTTGCCTTGAGCCATTCCTCACTGAGTTCTTTGTCAAGGCTTCCCCCCGCCTCGCGCATGATGTGTTGGGTATACTTGACCCACGGTCCCCGGGCTATTTCTTCAGCTTTCCAAGACCAGATTTTTGAAGAGACGTGTCACACGCGGCAAAGATGAAACATAACGCGTAGCCACTATGCCAATGGCACGTTCTGTACCTTGGCGGCCGGTCGAGTCTTGGTGTTGTTGCGGAGCCTTGTCCGAAGTGTTCGTTGCCATGGCAGGGTCAGGCCGGCGCACTTGAGGTAGACCAACAGGGAAAATGTTTGGAAACTATGGTGGGGCTACGGACATAAATGTCCATGTACACGATGTGGACCAAAGGCACAGTAGAAGCAACCCAAATCTGACCACAATCTGTGCTGCTTGTCCCAGCCGCCAGCCGGGACACGCCCTTCTTTTGCAGCTTTAAGCTTCTTTTGATCTAAACCATTGCTTCCCATCCTCCATTTCTGTTGTGGTTTTCCTATCCATGAATGGGTTAATTCGCGACCCGACCTGCTGGGCTTGGAGAGGCAAAGCTTTGCCCGGCAGGTGAAGAGCTTTGTGAAGGGTGCGGAGCGTCAGGAGATGGAAACGGCTCCCTGCCACTCGGTGTCTTTGGAGCAGGCCGGGAGTTAGCCGAATGGCTTGCTCAGCAGGACATGGTTTGGGGACCAGAAGTGGGCTGTGGCTTGATGATATTGGGCTCCCATCTGCCGATGCTCTTTGCATCTTCCAGGAAGCCCTCCCCATTCGCTCCAACTCTCAGCTGTGAGCCTGCGGGTTGGAACAAACTCCGATTCGGACACCAAAAAACGGCGATTCAGAAACTGCAAAACGGCGCTTCAGAATCCAAAAAAAAGAACGATTCGGAAACCACGTTCGGCGACTCGGAAACCAAAATGACCGATTCGGAAACCAAAAAGGGCGATTCAGAAACCAACAAAACGGCGGTTCAGAAACCAAACTGACCGAATCGGAAACCAAAATTGGCCCTTTCAACATTCGGCCTGGGGTCGGCTTAGGGTTGGTGTCGGGTTGGTTTTGGGTTGGGTTGGTTTTGGGTTGGTTTAGGGTTCTTTTGGGGTTGGTGTAGGTTGGTTTAGGGGCTTAGGCTCGGTTTAGGGTTGGTTAAGGGTTGGTTTTGGGTTGGGTTGATTTGGGGTTGGTTTAGGGTTGGTTTAGGGTTGGTGTAGGGTAGGGTTGGCTTAGGGTCGGTTTGGGGTTGGTTTAGGGTAGGGTCGGTTTAGGGTTTGTTTAGGGTCGGTTTTGGGTTGGTTTTGGGTCGGTTTAGGGTTGGTTTAGGGTTGGTTTTGGGTTGGGGTTTAGGGTTGGTTTAGGGTAGGGTTGGCTTAGGGTTTGTGTGGGCTTGGTTTGGGGTTGGGTTGGTTTTGGGTTGGTTTTGGGTTGGGTTGATGTGGGGTTGGTTTAGGGTAGGGTTGGCTTAGGGTCGGTTTAGGGTTGGTTTAGGGTAGGGTTGGTTTAGGGTCGGTTTTGGGTTGGCTTAGCGTTGGGCTGGTTCTGGGATGGTTTAGGCTTGATTTGGGGTTAGCTTAGGGTCGGTTTAGGGTTTGTTTAGGGTTGGTTTTGGGTTGGTTTTGGGTTGGGTTGATTTGGGGTTGGTTTAGGGTTGGTTTAGGGTAGGGTTGGCTTAGGGTCGGTTTAGGGTTGGCTTAAGGTTGGGCTGGTTTTGGGTTTGTTTAGGCTTGATTTGGGGTTGGTTTAAGGTCGGTTTAGGGTTGGTTTCGGGTAGGGTTGGCTTAGGGTCGGTTTAGGGTTGGTTTGGGGTTGGTTTTGGGTTGGGGTTGAGGGTTGGTTTAGGGTAGGGTTGGCTTAGGGTTGGTGTAGGCTTGGTTTGGGGTTGGGTTGGTTTAGGGTTGGTTTAGGGTAGGGCTGGTTTTTGGTCGGTGTAGGCTTGGTTTGGGGTTGGGTTGGTTTTGGGTTGGTTTAGGATTGATTTGTGGTTGGTTTCGGGTTGGTTTTGGTTAGGGTTGGCTTGGGGTCCTGGGTCGGTTTAGGGTTGGTTTAGGGTAGGGTTGGTTTACGGTTGGTTTTGGCTTGGTTTAGGGTTGGTTTAGTGTTCAGACATGCGCATGCCCAAATACGCCCACGCACCCAAGGAATGGACAGTAGGAGCCTTCAGATTCAAGCGCTCGCGCCACTGGATCAGCCACGGCATGCTTGACAAAATCATACAAAATCATTGGGCAGCATAACGAAGCGCCTTGTGACATCATGTGGCGCCCAATGCTGGCTTGATCTGCAAAAAACAACTGGCAGAGCCTCTGCAGTACATGCGCGCGCGCTCGCCAGAAGGCCCGAAAAACAACGGCAAAAAAGCAAGGACTTCGCAGCGCACGAGAAGTGTGCACTCTATACGAGAAGCGGGAAAAATACTTTGGCTCAACCGGAGCCAGCATGGAAATTGTTCCTTGAGAGGAGAATACAAGACCGATTTCCCAGAACCCTGTTATATTATTTCTTCTTGCTTCTGCTTTTTCTAGCTGTTTTCTGGGCTTCAGTTTTGGCAGACGCATTCCTAGATCCCTGTCGCCTCGAGCACAAAGGGTGGGAATCTGTGCAAGCCTCGCTTGAAGTTTTACGACAAGTCGTTCGTCTTGGTGTCGGCGAACCCCGGCTGGTTGATGCAGTGAAAACCATGGAATGTGCTGGACCGCGTTGTTCCTGGATTTCATGCTGCTGTGCCAATGCCCAAGGTGCCATGCCATGTGACCTTTCTGTCACACGATGTCCAAACATGGTCTTCTTCAAACCTCTGCATTTATGTGCTATTAATCAAACAAGCAGCATCTGTTTTGGGAAGGATATTTTGGGAAGAAGGCAAAAAAACAAATTCGACCTGGGACGTGACTGCCTTCATGACATAGGACTGACAAGCTCCCGGCAAACTGGCATGAAACCCGGGAAACCATGTCTCAGACGAATCTCCGTTTGGGGGTTGCGTGTAAGTCATAGCCAGGTATTGCATTGGACTAGTCGCACTGGTGGAGAAGAAGGTCGACAGCATGCAGCCGCCCGTCCCCAATTGGCTTGAGGAGGAGCCGCCCAAGAAGGTCGACAGCACGGAACCAGCAGCTGCTGCAGATTTTGCGAGGTCTTCATAAGCGACACCACGCTCTACATCAGAGTCTTCTGCCTATGTCCCGACAGACATGGCACGCTCCGCAGTAGACTTTCCTGCCGGGTGGCGCTCCTTATGTACCAGCGGTTCCTCACTCATTCGCGCCCGAGCCAGATCCTACACAGATCAGGGAACCATACGGAGGCGATGTGTCGAATTGACTGGGCCTTCTGAGGCAGGACCACCGGCTGAGCCTCCAGCGCTTGCGGCAGCTCCTGCGGTCCCTATGTGTTGTGGCCTCCTTAGCTCGGCCTTGGCAAGGTCGAGAGGTGGTTTGCTCGTGCGCCTCGTCTGAAATGTTTCGGTGGAAGGAGAAGCAAATGGTTTTTCGACATGGAAATGCCGTTTTTCGGTGTGCGCGCTCCTTCCTGTTTGGCTCCTGCAGCCAGGCATCTTGCCCGAGTCGTTACACTCTCGGTTTCGCGCATGATTATAAACCTGTCTGGGATGCCATCGCCCCTTTGCCGATCGCTGGGCCCCCAGTGCCTTGCCTTCGAATTCCCAACCTGGGAAATTCTGTTGTCACCTTCAAAACAGCCCCCCCTTTTAAAGGAGCCAAGATCGCCCCAAAACGGGTTGGCCCCTGAGATGAAGGAAGCAGAGCCATGGTACTTCTCTTTTTTGGTTTCAGGATGCCTTTTGGAGTCTGAATTGAAAGGATGCCAGCAAGACCATAATTCTGGAGAGTCCTCGGATGTCGACTTATTTTGACCAGTGTTCAGAGTTTTCCGCCTGGAGCATGCCAGTGCTTTCCTGTACTCGCTTCTGCGCCTGAGCGGCCGACGTGCATTATGTATACACTTGCACTGACAAGTTGCGACTTCTAAGCCGGAGCTGCCAAAGTGTACTTCCTGTAGTGCAAACGACTTTCGAGCCAAAGCTGCCAAAGTGTATTTCCTTTTCGACACTTGTACTGAAAAGCTGCGACAGTCGGGCCGGACTGCCGAAGTGTACTTCCTTTTCTACACTTATACTGAAAAGTTGCGACTTTCGAGCCAGAGGTGCCGAAAAAATAGTTTCCTTGGCCACACTGGCGCTTGAAAGCTGCGACTTTCCAGTCGTGCCGCTGAAGTGTATATCACGTACTATGTATACACTTGCGCTGACAAGTTGCGACTTTCCAGCCAGAGCAGCCAAAGTGTACTTCCTTTACTACACTTGTACTAAAGATTTGCGACGTTCGCGCCAAAGCTTTCAAAGTTTTTGTTTTCCAAACTTGTACTGACCAAATGTAGGCGAATGGATGGTCTTGGATTCGGACTCTACCTTTTTGGTTTCCGAATCAACCGTTTTGGTTTCCGAATCACGCTTGGTTTCCGAATCACGCTTGGTTTCCGAATCAGCTCTTTTGGCTTCCGAATTTTCCGTTTTGGCTTCCGAAGTTTCAGCCGACCCTGCGGGTTGGATTTCAGCCGGCGTCCGCTTGAACAGCAGAGCACCCGTTGGCCGATTGAAGGGGGCCGGTGGTTTCGCCCCACTCTTTTCAAGCACACAGTTCTGGCCCAAAAAAGCAGGAAGTTGTTTCTAGGATTTCGCTCAATTTTCTCTGTCATTTTGCTGTCACGAGCGAACAAACGCACACTTTTCATGACACATGTACTTTTTGTTGTGCAGTGCTTTGCAGGAAAGCGTGCTTTCTTTGCCTAGCCCTGGAGGAACCAATCTGGACCAACCAGTTTCCAAGATAGAGCCAACCTAAGCCCCTATTGATGTTCCTCACTTTCTACCGTGAGAAAAGCACTTTCTGTGAGGCACTGAGCTGTGCCAGGGTTCGGCCCGTGCCAGGGCTAAGCCGCGCTTTCCGGTCGCGGCGCCAAGCTTGCGCCAGGTGAGACCCATCCTGATGCAAACTCTGCAGCTGAGCTGGCATGTGACTTTGGGCATAGCACCCGAAAATATTAGTGAATGACTGCGGTTGTATTCGGCGCGACATCCAAAACCCTGAAAGCCAATGGGGCCTACCCAAGACCGATGCCCCTTTATAAGAGCTACATGTTTGTCGAAATACGGGACCCCCCAGAAATGGCTTTGGCTTTCCTTTTGGTACCCCGGGCCAATGTGAAACGCGTGCCCTGAGGTTCTGTCAAAATGTTCGGATCTTGTTTGTCCATTTGGGAGGGGCGAGAGGGGACTCACTAGGTTTCGCAAGAAACGGAAGAACAGGCGTTTTCCCCCATTTTTATAGGTCCTTTGTTGACCGTGGTTCACAGGGGGTGTGCCGTGGAGGGTGGCTCATCCTTACATGGAGCAACTGTCAATGTTATTGTGGCCCACCCAAGTACTGCCCACAAAAGGCAGCGTGCCAACCCAATTTGCCCATGTCCTCTGTCGTCGAGGGCTTCGTCTGGTGTTTCCGGAAATTGGTTGTCTGAGTGGGCAACGCAGGTTACAAACCACCCAAGTACAGGAGACATTGCACAACTGTTTCAGCCAGGCTCATCATCCAGAGGACCGCATACCCAGCCTGGCCGGGCCCTCTGCTTTGGAGGCCAAAGTGCAACGAGCCCGATTTGGGGCGGGGGAGGCGGGGTGGGGGTTCAGAGCAATGCGCACAGGGTACTGGTTTTGGGGCCCCTATTTTGGGACTGGTTTTGGGGCCCCTATCGGTTTCAATGGGGAGTCCATGTCTGGCAATCGTGGGCATTGTATCCCAGACAATCTCTTGTGCGGCCACGCCCAGGTTTCAGCACCATGATCCGAATATTGAGGATGATGAGCATTCGGCTCAGCAGCTTCGCCAGACATCAAGTTGCTTGTACCCTTGTGTTGAGGCAACACGCGCTGTTCATCCGCTTCCGAAAAAGCTTGGCAAAGATCTACAAGCCTACAGCTGAGGATCAGGCTTGATGTTTGCGTTCTCCAGAAACGCGACCGAGGCGAATATTCTTGGTCGACGAGCAGTGGATATCTTAGAGCGCTGTCATTCTTGGCTCAACTTGCCTTTTTTGTTTCTTCCCTGGTATGTTCTAGCTTGTTTTCCCTTCAATGATTCGAGCCAGTCTAGAATGGTGATTTTGGTTGTTAGTTTGGAGGGTAGGGGGCGGCTTGCCATTTGGTTTCAAGAGGGTTCAAGTCACCAATCCAAACCGCCAATCAGGTGAACAAGGTTGTTCCCAAGTCAGGTGTGCCGAGCCGCAAGCCAAGGCTCGGCTTGCAATTTGTGCAAGCCTCCACTGCTCAGCTGACCCAGAATTTGGCGGGCGTTCAGCCCATGGAAGCTTGGGGCTCAGTTCCCCAGCGTGGCTTGCCTTCGGCTTCGAACCACGAGGTGGATGCAGTCCTCTACCTGTTCAAGGTGGGCGTGTCCGGTTTCGTGTTTTGAAAAGTAGGTTCAGGCAAGCATTTTGTGGGGAAGCTCCAGTCATGGACATATTGTTTGGCACGCGACACCAAAACGTTAGCAAGACCAATCCAGAACGAGTCCAAAGCGAGCCCGTACTGTAACGGCCCTGGCTTTGCAGAGTGGCCCATTGCCCATTTTTACACGTGCATAGTAAGATATCACTTACGATGTTCAATGTGGAGGTGAGATGCGCACATGATCGGGGCTGCCAAACATTCACGTACTGTTCGCAATCATCGTGGAACGATGACAAGTCAACAACGAGCTCACTGCACAACGAGATGGCCCTCCTTTGATTTGCGTTGCCTTGCCGTGAAACGATTCGAAGCAAGAGCAAAACGGTTGTTGTCATTCCAGTCAGCAAATAGTTCAGTCAGCTGCTCATATTCGGAGGCTTTCCGTCAAGGGATGTTGTCATGTGCGCGGGTGTAATCCTAAGGGTTTTAAACTATGTGGTTCATTGCTGGTATCTTGTCAGAAGAGGGGTATGGCTCCAGCAAGTTGACCCCCAGACACACCCGAAACGGTTGGTACAGTGGAGAAAGTGCAAGGAGACGGGGGAGATCGTCAAGCAGCTTGACCAGCACTTGCAGGCTGGCAGATGTGTTTGATTTTGAGGCGTGTTAAAGGGACACCAACGGAAGCCACTCATTTTGTCGAGTCTCCTGTTGTGAGTGATGTCTGCAGGTTGGCCATGAAGTTGGAACCATTAGGGGGCCGATTGTTTCGGATAGATGAAGGTTAGAAAGGGACCATCCCAACCGCAAAAAGTCAGAACCGCGCTTTGAATCCTGTACCGTGGGTTCTGGGTAGACCGCTTTGGGGAGGTTTTGACTGTGGCTCAATTGAGGATGTGGGTGTGTCTTTGTGGGACCCCCCAAAACGGTGGTTTCTTTTTGGTTTTCCTTTAAACTAAACAAGGTACCCTTCAAAAAAGGTCACACTGAGGTGTTCTCTTAAGACGGCGCAATGGTTGTAGGTTGCCTTCAAACTTTGGGCGCAAGTAATCTAGGGTAACAACGCCATGGGAGGCCGAGTTGAGAGAAGGCCCAAACCCTAAGTTCAAGAGCCCCACACCCCAGCCACACCGGGGAAGCTTAGACCTAAAAGCCATCAGAAAAATCGAAAACCGTCCAAATCCCTAAGCCCAGAGAGACCAGGGTACCGGTGGACTGAAAGGCCATCGAAAAGGGAAGCGCCATCCAAAAGGACACTGAAACTCTAATGGCTGTGGCTCAAAAGACTGGTACCAACATGGCTTGCCCCGGTAAGTGGAAACATGGACCAAAACCTGCGTAACCCCTCCTGTTTAATCTTGAGCCACACCCTAATCCCTAAACCAGGAAAGCGAAAAGGCCATCGAAAACGGAACATCCAGTGACAGGGGAAGCCAAAAGCCAAGCGAAAGCTGCGCGGGGTTTGGGCTGCCAGGCCAAAGGTCCGCTCGCCAGTGCTTTCGTGCAGCTTGTCGAGTGCGAGGCGCTGGCGCGGTGCTCGGTGGAACCGCATGTTTTTGTTTTTGTTTTAGTTAGGGTACCTTTTTTTGGTTTTAAGGGAAAGCCACAGGGAAAGCCAACAAGTTTCCTATGAGACAGACCCCGTGGCTTCAAGGTCAACGCAGATCATTGGGCGGTCCAGCTCGCACTAATGGAGGTGTATGCGCCGCCCCAAGCACCGCGCGCCGGTGGAGCGATGCCGGAATGGTCCTTTTGCCAGCTTCTTTTGCACAAGTTTGGTAGAATGCCAAGGAGCCCAATCATTTTTTGTTTTTTTGGGGGGAATGAACAGCCAGAGGGCCACACCTTTTCAAGGCAACAATTGAAGGACATGCCTGGTCCAATCATTTCTCCGGAAGGGCAAGTCGGCGATCAATCGGCCAGCGGAGAGGTCCGTTATGGAAGACTCCTGGCGCTTCACCCAGACCTATTCCCGAGGAGCGGTGGGGGGCGTTGAACCGGGGTTCTTTTGTAGTTGTCGTATTTTGAGGGGTTCTCAATCACTTTTTTGGGGCCTTCTGTATCATCCGGACAAGATCTCAAAGTTGCTTTCTTGGCGAGGATGTCACTTCAGTGGACCCAGTGGAAGTGCAGGGGAGTTCGTGTAAAGGGATCAGGGGCAGTGAGACGGAAGCCTTTCTGAGATATTCGGCTTTCTTTCGAGTCTTGTTATGGTTTCCTTCTTATACCACACAAGGGACAAGGGATCCCCGATTTTGCAATGCATCGGCCAGGTATGGGCAAAGGGTGCTGCAAGCCTTCGTGAGTCGAGGCAGAGCCAACACCCAGACTGGGGACATTCCCAACCATAGAGGCTGCCGCTCTTGCAATTTGTAGCATGAAGATCGGCCGAATTACCAGTCTATGGTCTTTTTGGGAGCCACTAGATTTCCGGAAAAAAGAAAAGAACAAAAATAACAACAAAAAACAAACACAATCAACACAAAATGGGGGACCGAGTCATTTCCCCATGCTTCAGGGTAACTGTTTGTTTTGACCGTGGCTCGCACGATCGTTCGGAATACTCCGACTTCACCCTTGGCAGGCATCCGTTCTAGCAATGCTCACGTCGCCGGGCGCCTGCCGCGGGCTCGGGGATTTCAACGTCTTGCAACCGGCCGAGGTAAGCCGTGCTTGCTTCATGTTCGGCCGCTTTATGAAGCTGGCCGGGGGGCCCGAGAGCCAGAGATTTGTTGACCCATGAAGAAACCCCTATGGGGTTGGGGGCCACTGAAGTGAGGTTTTGCCACCAAAACCAGGGGAAAGCACCCCTTCTCAAAAACAGGGGTTGATTCAACATTACCAGCTACTGGCCCTTCGGAGTGCACTTCCAGGCTTCGTGAAGGGCGACTCTCAGCAAAATGTGGATCACTTTTTGCGGGGAGGGTAAAGATCAACCTGGCTAAATTGGAAATCCCGGGGCTTCCTGTGGCAGTTCACTCTTTAAGACCAACCCCACTAGACTAGCAATCTCGGGGACATTGTCCCATGAGTTCCTACCGCAGTTGGCTTCAGCCAAATGAGCCATCAGCAAACCTGAGCACTTGGAGCTGCATACGGGTAATTCTGAACAATGATGTAGGTCATTCTTTTTATACCAGTTTTGGTTGTGATGCAGAGAGGCATCCTTCTCATCCAGCTTGTCAAAGCGCCAAGGTCAAAGCACAAGCTGCACCTTTGGTGGCACAGATCCAGGAAGCTTTGCAGGACGCCCTCACACACACACACACACACACACACACGGAAACCTTCCTTGTCTCTATGCAGCGCAGTGCAGGATCTCCTTGTTGTACAGTGCGCCACTGGATTCATTCCGAACACGATGCTCGTGCCGAGTGCTTGCATGGAAGCGCAGTGGTCCAGTTTGAGCGTTTGGGGATTGCGAGGTATGTTCCGTCGGCACTCGTTCCTGTACAGGCTCGCATGGGGATTTCTTGAGTGCAGCTACCGGGAAACTGAATGTGCAAAGGCAATGACGCATACTTGTCCTGCAAAATACTAAACGGGTTGATAACAATGAGAGGTTTGCCCCTGCCTAAACTTGCAGAGTGTGGAAGTAAATCAGACATTCTGTGAAACCACGACTTCTGTTTTGACGATATAAGCCTTGGAGGGCCCGCCTTATAGGACGATTGTGCGTAGGGGTTGGCTGAACCTCATGTCTGAGTTGGGTGCATGCGACCCACGTAGCATGCCCACTGCCAAGGGAGCGGTTGGCTCTCCTGGGCAGTGGGTTCATCGGCGTCTGCAGGCTGAAGTGTCGCTGACGAAAGTTGCCATCAAGGGCTCCTTGAAAGCCGATGATCAGGCCGCCATCGGCTCATGTTGACTCTGGATGCAACAACCTCGTGGAGGATGAGAGTTTTGTTTGTAGAAGTAAAGGGTCCGGACTCCCCCTGATATTCAAGGAGGTGTGAAATCTTGGATGGGTTTGATGAAGCGCTGGCCATTTCCGAAAAACGTGTCTTTTGATGTTTGATTGCGGAAACGCACTTTTTGGTTGGTTTGAAAAGAATGCCGAAAGGAAACCAACCATTTTGGGGGGCCCCTCATCTTGAGAATATGCCTTCCTTTAGAGGGCCCTTGGTGCAGGAAATGTCCATGCGACTCATCAGTGCATTTGCCACCTGCAAATGCGGATTTGGTTCTCGTTGTCTGCTAGTTGTGTTGCTTCTCTACCTCTACACAGGTTTGGTCCCTTGAGGACACGCTCTGCGATTCTCTCTAACCACGAGGGAAATGTACCAATATGTTCACTTCTTGCACTTGGAGATTTGCTTGGGTTGAAAAAGAAACCATTTGCAAGCGCGAGGCCTACCTCTTTGAAGCTCTTGCCAATTTGGCAACTGCCTCGAAGCCCGAAGAGCCGGGGCCCAAGTTGTCGGAGGCTTGACGCGGGAAGGCCGCCTCAGGCATAGGCGTCAGAACCGTTTCTGGGACTGCCTTATGCAAAAATGCAGAGAGGGTCGCGGGGTTTGACCCCTGATTTTTGTTCACCCGGGGGCTGTTTATCAGTTTACACATCAATTTATATTCAGAGTTGATAGCTCTTTAAGGGATATGGCAAGAACGAGTCCCCCACAAGGAGGAATATTTTCCTGCTTCAGACCTGGAGGTTTACTGATGGGTCAACAGTACTGCTGGCAGTCTCTTGTGGTTGGGAAGATGGCGGGGGGGGGGGGGGTGGCCATTTCACCAATCTACCTGCAAGCCCTGGGCCGTCCATCCCTTCTGGGAAAAAAATCCTAGGGCTTGTTGGCGCCATCTGCGAAGTGACCAAACACGGAGGTTCCTCCCGTGGGCTGGACCTTGCTCCTCTTAAATTGCTTTGGAATGGTTTGAACGGATTTAAAAGGTAACAAGCTCCATGCTGAAGATCACATCTGCGAGATCTGGACGATTGCTGGCAAAGGGTGTCTTTTTCAATCTATCGATTGGGACATGTTGAACAGTTTGTACAAAAGTAGCGGTTCCCCATCCAGCACAAAGTGGGTCACTTTTTGGCACTGGTCTGATGGATCAACCAACAGCGAAAGCGAAGCCACGCGAGGCTGCGGCCAAAGCTGGAGATGCTGCTGAAGGGTTGGGAGCCAAGCGCTGGTCGAGGGGTTGATTCTGGATGGCTGGTTAACAGGGTTCCATTTGGGAGGGAATCTTTCACTATTCTTGGGGGGTTTATTCCAACCATCCGTTTTAGGGGCTGCCCTTTCTGGCTGCCCTTTCTCAACTATCCTTTTTAACAATCGTTCTTTTCAACAACCGTTTTTTTTTTGTGCACGACCCTTTCTGGTGGTGGAAAGGGGAAGTTACCCCGGTGATGATGGCTGCTGGTCTGTTGCTTGCTGAGGATGGGAAGGAGAGGCCACACTTTTGTCATTTAACAGAAGCACCGAGCAGCAATTTCCCAAGTGCGGGAAGCACGAATCTTGCCTGACATGTGTCTTGGTACACCCATTTACTCGGGGGGTAGAGGTGGTCAGGGGAAGTGTCGACCATCCGTTTCGAGGGAACCGGAACCGTGGCTGTGACGATTCGAGTTTGACCATGGGACACAGATTCACCGTCTGGAAAAGGCGACACGGGATGGCACTTACCAAATCCTCATGTTGGAGAGTGGCTGCTTCAGTGCTTTGACTGTGGCTCACTTGTTTTTAGAGATGATCATGGACCGTTGGTCGGGATTTTAGAAGATCATTGGCAGGTTGTTCAGCTAAATGAAGGATAACCACGACCCAGGAGTTTTGACCACAGGCTCCCTTCAAACGCAGGTCCGAAACCCACAGATGTGCTGGGTTCTGAGATCTTGCCTTGGAAATGCCCTGAGCTTTTTTTGGCCTTGACTCTTGGTCCCGTGGCAGCTTTCAAGCAAATTAAAGCTGTGTTCCTGAGAAGCAAGGATGATGTGCAAGTTTCACATGCTGCAAGGTGCCCTTTTCCAGCTTTTGAGGGTCGCCGGCTGTCTGTTTTTGAGACATTGAGGGGGCTCATTTGCCTTGCCACTTGCAGCCGGCTCCTGTTCACCTCGCGAAGGCGCCAAACCAAAGGAGCCTTGCGGTCATGACTCGATCCCTCGCGGGTTGCCTTCTCGGTCTCGCTGGTTTAGCGGCAAGTGTCGAGAGTCCGTGCTGCTCGGACAAGTGCGAGGCACCCAAGGCGAGGTTCGTCGCATCGCGGAATGGTCCCTTTTGACAAAGGGGAACGGGTAACTCAAGCCTGGAGCCTGAGCAATTACAACAACAGGACTCTCTGATAAGAAAAAGCAAACAGTTGGACACTAGTTTGCAACCCCATAAACCAGGGCTCACAAGCTGTTTCAGGGAGGGACGACACAGATTTTGACCCTCAGGTGAAGGTCTACAGCACAGATGCTGCCCATGGCTTCTGTGGAGAGGCCATGAGTGATGGCCTTGAGCCGCAATTTGCCCCAGCCGAGCCTCTCGAAAGTCAGGGGACGCTCCGGGGCTGTGTGCTTTTTGCTTTTGTTAGGAAAACCACGCGAGCATGTAAGAGATACCCTCACGGTCACATCCCCTTACCTATTTTGGTAGCTGGGATCCGGGTACCAAGCCTGAACTGGGCCATGCGAACCCCGCCAGAGGCGCATTCATTTAGTTGCTATCGGGGTGGGAACAATCACAGAGGGCTGTATCACAGGAGCCTCTTTCATTTCCCGCGGCCATTTGGTACAAGCTGTACTTCGTTCCTAGATGTTGATTCAGCTAGCCAACCTTGGGAGGTCTGCATGTGTTCACATATTCTGGCTAAAACCGCGATCACTGGATATCTCCTAACCAGACACACACACACACACAACACACGCACACGCACACGCACAGACACAGACACACACACACACACACACACACACACACACACACACACACACACACACACACACACACACACACACACACACACACACACACACACACACACACACACACACACACACACACACACACACACACACACACACACACACACACACACACACACACACACACACACACACACACACACACACACACACACACACACACACACACACACACACACACACACACACACACACACACACACACACACACACACACACACACACACACACACACACACACACACACACACACACACACACACACACACACACACACACACACACACACACACACACACACACACACACACACACACACACACACACACACACACACACACACACACACACACACACACACACACACACACACACACACACACACACACACACACACACACACACACACACACACACACACACACACACACACACACACACACACACACACACACACACACACACACACACACACACACACACACACACACACACACACACACACACACACACACACATTCTTTTGTATACACATGCAGTTCATTCAGGTCTGGCAGGCTTGGTGATACAACATTATTTGATTACATCCACGGACTGCCCATTTTGGCCTAAGATCCAAAATGGCAGTCAGTCATTTTCTTTGCTTGGAGGTGTTTCCTGCAAGCCATCATGTCCCAGCCATTTGTGGGCGATGCCTCCACCCATCCCACCCTGACTGGGTTTGCAGGAGTAGCCTGCCTGACGATGCGTCCGTCCGGCGTTCGTGGGTAGGGCTATCTTGCCGGGCTTCTTCAGACTCTTGGTCGTGTCCTGTTTGGGCAAGTGTCTGCCACTGCTGCGGAACGTTGACCGGTTTGCCGGTGGGTCCTTACCATCCACCAGTGGAAGATCTGTCTGAGCGCAGCCCTCTGTGCTCGGCTTTTCTTTCTCAGACCCCGTCTGGACTGACTGAGCCGGCGCCCGGTGCCAAGCTTCCGTCTGAGGCACGCCACAGTCGCCGGAATTCGGTGTTGGGGGGGTGTCTCTATGTGGGACTTGCCGGCTGCAGCCCGAACAGGGGAGCAGGTTCCGTTCCAGCGTTTTCCATTGACCTTTGCGCGCGGTCACTGCTGGGTTCATCCTGGGTGGGGCGTCGGATTGCGCTGTCGCCCCGACAGGGCGCATTTTTCGGGCGCCTTCCAGAAGGACGACTCTCACGACCGCAGCCTGCAGGACCCCGGCTGTGTTAATGTGCTATCTCTCTTTCTCTTCGGCTGGTAGGGACTCCCGTGGAGTATGTGACCATGCTACTGCCGGTGAAAACTGGGAGGGAGGAGCCCTGTGTTTGGTAGACACTGAGTGCAGCACAGCTGTGTGGCAGCTCTACCAATAGCGCTTCAATCATGATTCGGCGAATTCCCTAATGCCGTCGGAAAAAGGTCCGCTGCTGATGTGAGTCGAGTATAGACAAGAATAACATATATATATATATATATATATACGTATATATTTGGATTTGCGCGCCGACTCCGCCCAAACGTACACGCACAAGAACACGCAGCGCCTTTGCCACGCATCCAAAGCCACTCACAGGGTGACGCGGATAGCCTGGGAAAGTGACATGGTTAGTACGGCATCTGTAAGTGTAGGAATGTTGTAACCATGGTTTCGTGCTTGGAGTCTTCCTTCCAGGCGTGCATGAACCCCGATCACTTCGCCATCTTCCACAAGTTCGAGGCCAACCTCACCTTTGCTACGGATGCTCGGTGTCCAGCTGATAGACTTTTGTTCGGTTGCAGCATTTGCCACAGACAGTATACTGTAGGACGGAGTATGCCAAAGAAAAGTAGATTTTAGACATTTTATGGTATCATGGTGTATCCCGCCAAGGATGAGCACCCTTGCAGGGAGCAGTGGACGCCCGACAACAAGAAGCAGTACACCGAGTACACCACCACGGTGGGCGACGGGAAAGGGCTGAAAAAGGGCGGCTGATTGGTGGTGTGAATCATGTGGGTAGACCTTCTATTTTCCCAGGTCCACAGAGGGCAACGTATGTTGAGTGGCGCTTATGGGAGTTGGTTTGGTATCCGGGCTATTGGCGTCAAAACAAGCTCTTAGTTGTTGATTGCTGCCTCGATTCGTGTTTCTTGAAGTTGACAACACATATTACTCTATGTTGTGTTAACACGTTCATAAAAATGGAGTACTTCCGCGCGGGTCACTTTCATGGCTTTCCCTTCACGGAGTCCGTTTCTATCCGGTTGTAGGGTTCTTGCTAAGCACCATGCAAGTTGGACAATTCGTTGGTTTGTCTCCAAATACGGGAACCTTGCAGACGCGTTTTTTTTCTCGTTGGTCTCCCTTTCAAACCCAAAATGCACACCTTAAAAGTCTCCCCCCCCAAATGAGGAACCTACGCAAACATTTGAGTCTTAAAGAAAAGCCCAGGACTATTTTATTATCAAAGGCAGGTAACCAAGGAGAGCAGCCAAGGACACCCACATTAAAACCCCTAACGGGCAATATTGCTGGAGCCCAAACCCATTTTGCAGGTAAGGGGAAAACATAAGGGGAAGCCAAACCTTTGGGGTTCTATGCGAACCCAAAAGACTGAGCAACAAATGCCACCGTGGGTCCGTTGTTGAAAGTACTTTCAGCGCAGATAAATCGCTCTGCCATCTCAAAAATCGAAGGGCATGGCAGGGAACCGTCAAGAAACCGAAAGGACCGGCTAAGCCTGACTTTGGGGTGAGCAACCTTATGTTCTTTTGGGTAAGTTGGGTGAAGAAATGCCAACCCTGGGCTAACTTCTTGATTGGATTGGTGGCTTGGAGCTTTTGGCTCTTCGGCAAATGGGATGCCTATCCAAACCAATCCAAACATGGGAAGCTGAATTCCGGGGTGAAGGTTTAGATTACCCGAGGCTAGACTAAATTACCACTTGGGACAAGGCTCGGTTTCAGTCGACACTTGAATCAGAATAACATTATAACTCCCAAAAATCATGTAAACAATCTCATTCCCTCTATTTCCAACCCCACCGCAAACAAGCATCTTTACCTGTTTTGATTCAGGTGACTCATGGCTTTGGCCCAGTGAGTATGACCCTGGACCTCTACGAGCCGACGGGCATGCCGGACCACAGCTGCTGCGCCGCGCCACTGATCAAGTCCTTGGGCTGCTTTGGGATGCGTGGGAAGCCGCAGGCCCGGGTAGAGGGGGAGGATTTGCAGGGAGAAAATGAGGGCTTTCACTTGGTTTTAGCCCCTGTTTTTTCCACGGCTTCACATGGTTTCACGGTTTTGCCAAAGTTTCACGTGGTTGTATGGTTTGACATGCTTTCACGGGGCCATATTTTTTGCTGGGTTTGGCTGGCTGGGTCGTGGCAGGGTGCCCGGTCGGTCGGTTGGTTGGTCGGCGCGTCGTCTGACCGTCTGGAACGCCGAGCCCCGACCCACCCTGACTAGATGAACGGAATACATGCGTTGCTTTCATCCATAAGCCCACCCTAAAGACACCCAAAACCCATCATATGAACCTTGTAAATGTGCCAGTTGGTAGGGGTTCTTGTGATGGCGGAAAACCTCTAGAGCCATCTTAGCTGAACTGAAAAGTCGCTTGCTTCCGGGCTCTTCTCCAGTGATGAAACCTCGCTCGATTCAAAGGGAAGATCTAAATGAATTGATGTTTCCAGGGGAAACCATACCAGCTTAGGAACATCTCTAGACGTGGTTTTTCACACTGGCTTACTCCCATGGTTTTGATGGTTCAAGACCGCCCCTTTGCAGTCCATCCTCATCGATGCCACCGGGCCCTTTTGCTGCCCGGAGAGCGCTACGCCTGCGCAGCCGTGCGGCGGAGACCAGATCGTCGTCTGAAGCATTGGACGGGCCCACTGACGCCACTGACGCGTTTGGCGACGTGGCGCCTTTCGGTTTTCCCAACTCATTTGCCTCTCTGGGGCTTGGACACTTTGGGCCTATCCCAGAGATAGAGCGAGCCCGGTCCACATAGGCCTTGAAAGCCTGTTGTCGACGCGGGCGGGTTGAGGGAGAGAAACGGCGTTTGGGCGCAGCGTTGCATCGCATTTATCTGTGGCTTGCAAGTCTTCAAGCTTTCCTGGTTTTGGGCCAGGAAGCGCTGCTTGCCAGCTTTGTTGTCCTGCATTACTTAGCATGGCAAGCCACATGTGGTAGTGCCCAATCGACTTGAAGGATTCTCCCGCTCAGCCGGTGGTCACCTCTTTCCAAACAAGGAATCTGGGTCCTTTGTGAAAGGATTCCCTGTCTTGGGCCGTCTGAGCCGAGGCCCCGCTCAGAACCTCACGGAAATCCTGGGCAACCGAGCGCCCGGCGAGGGAGCCGAGAAAAAACCGGAGGAGGTGGGGGGGGGGGTTTGGCAATCCGAATGTGGAATGTGGAACCCTAAGACCTTTTTTTTTTCCCGCATGGCCGGAACTACAGTTGGGTTCATTGATGCAAGCAAAATGGTTTTAGCTGACAGGACTATACAGGAATGCAAAATCCATTTGATGAAACAGGGGGCAGTGCGGGCTCCGAAAATAGTTTTTTTTTTGTCCGGCTTGCGTGCCAACAGGGATAGGTGCATGAGCTTGGCCTGGTGATTGAACATATCTCCTGCAAACAGACGCCGGCATAGGAGCAGTCACCATGTTTTTCCGCTCGAGGCAACGACGTGGCAGGCTGCGCCGGTGCGGGGCCAAGATGATTTTGGATCGAAACTTTCAGTAGTCTGATTATTTGGAGACTCACCCAATTTCACCACAAAAGCTGCACCCCAAAGGGACACCCAGTCATTTCCATTTTTTCGATCAGTCCTTTTGCGAGCGACCCAAAGTTCCCCCCAAAAGGGAACCCGTTCCAATCTTCCCATGTCTGTAGAATTCAAGTTGGATTTTTGGTGGCTTGTCCAGAATCCCCAGCAATGGCGGTTGCGGGATGAAAGTGTACCTTCTTGTCATCTAGAAGCATGGCAAAAGGCCCTGTTTGGTCAGGCTCAATCTTACTTTTGGCAACGCCAAGTTTGGTTTTGCCTAAGGCTGGGCCGGAAGAAACATTGAGGCCTGATACGGCTAGACTGTCGTGGGTCCGTGCTCGAAATGCGCCTCTTTACCGGACTTGTGCGCATGGTGGTTATTTGCACCACTTTCCCTTTGGTTGCGAGAGGAATGCCTCTAAAAATATGACGGTGGATCTTGCAACCATGCTCTGGCACCTGGTTTTGTCTCCACATGGGCGGCCCCGCCCGAAAATGGGCGGTTTTCACTGGCTTCCCCCAAAAGCAAACCGCAAACAGGGGAAAAGAGGCATCGGGTTCAAGTGCTGGGTTGCCTTTGCGTTTTCCCTGTAAAAAAAGCAAGCAAGGGAATCTACCAAGTAACATAGAACTGGCTAGTTCTTCCCTGCCTTCTTTCATGGGACCCTGTGGGTCGGAGGGTACTCCCTTTTACATACCCCGGGCAATCTTTAGAAAAAAAACCCAGGCTTGCGGTTGCTACCCCAAAGTTGACCGGATCATGTTTGGGTATCGCCGAAAGAGCCATGAGTTTTGTGGCGATCTTTGCCAGGCCATTGCCACGGTGAGCAAGCCCTTCACCGTCCAGTCCTTCGCTTGCACGATGGAATCAACCTGGTGCATTGCGCCTTACCAGTTGCCTTACCTGTGTCCTTCCCTTATTGTTTCGATTGTTCCTTGTTTTGGACCTCAACCCGGTGGTTTGGTCTCCAGTGGGATATGATTCATGGGTAATCGTTCAGAAAATGGGACCCTTGTCCAGAACGAACGGGGTCCATTTGAGGAGTTCCCTTGGAACGTCATTCAAGCAGAGGAGTTCTTTCTTATTTTTTGGAGTCTCCTAAAGCGTCTGCAGGGAGCTGTGTTGATTGCCGAATGTAAATCTGGGGCCCCTTTTTGGTTCGAAGGGAAGCCAAAAGCTGCCACGGGGTGTCCAAAACATATTGTGGAAGCAGCTGGACCGACCACAAGCCACGGGAAGTTGCAGGGCTGCCGCCCCTCTCTTGCACGTGTCATGCAGTGGAGCCATCGTCCTGTGCTCAGGCATGCAAGCACTGCCCCAGCTGGGATCCCAGATCTCAACTTCAGGGAAAGTCATGCCTCGCAAAGTGTCTGGGCATTGGCATGGGATAGATCAGGTTGATTTTCCGACCGCTTTCTTGGATTGTTCGTGCTGCTTGGTTTTCCACAATTGGAGCCTCTTTCAGGTGTTTTTTTTTTGGTCTTCCTAGTGGGTCAGCAACCCGTTGAGTGGTGGTTTGGCTTGATTTCTGGATTTGGCACACGCCGCCATTAGCGGCGTTGAGCAAAAGGCGGATTTTGATGCGTGTTCACGCTCACATGAATTTCAGGCGCATTCCCCGTCGGCACGGCCGCAACAAGCACATTTGCTTCCTCAACTCACAGCGTTGCGCTATGTACATTCACATGAGCTTCAGTGCAGATTCTTCATTGCACTTTCTTCGGCAACTTGGTAGTGGTGTGTATGTTCACATGAGCTTTAGCACGCACTTTTTATTGGCATGCCTGCAAGAGGGGCGGGGTGGGGTGTTCATGTTCACTTGATCTTGGGGGTGGGGCGTTCACGTTGACACGAAATTGCCTTCTATCTGAGATTGCGCCTGACCAATTCGAACCTTTGGAACCTGCATTGGTTCGTGGCGCAGAAACTGCGGCGGAGATTTGTGGTCTGCCATGGCCGCCTTGTCTCGCAGATGAGACAGTCCCGTGTTGGAAAACAGCCCCAGAGTCCGCTCCCGCGTCGCCAAAACGCTCAGCACCGCTAATGAATGGCGGCTTGACCTTGTTTGCGCCAAAGGCGAAGGCATGCCAATCCAAAGGAGCCACAATGAAAAGTCGGGCAGATGAAATGACTGGCCCGGCCAGAAATAGGTGCGGCCGCCTTCTTGATTCTTTGCACGGTTTGGGTAGACCACTTCAATAGTTTTGATTATAACTCAAAGCACCTAGCGGAACGCTGTGAGGTTCGTTTGCACCTTGAGGCTTGGGAGGAGGTGCTGGTGGTCGTGGCACGTATCTTGGAGAAGTTCGTGAACCAGATGAGCCGCGAGGCAAAGCGAAAAGGGGGGGTCGCGAGTAACTTCGTGTTGGGGGTCAATGGGCTTGTCTTTTGGCATGGTCGTTACCATGACCATGATGCACAAAAGCAGTTTTGGCAACACACACACACACACACACACCTCTTTGGCCGCGAATTCGATAGGACACAACAAATCTTAATGTGCCAATCATTTATGGATGTGCCCAGCATATATATATATATATATATATCCACGGCAGCTCTGAATTTCAGCAATTGTTTTCCACCGTGGCTTCCCCAGTGCAGCTCCTCAGTTCTTTGCGCACGTCCTTTTCAAGGGGGTGGTCAAAATACTTTTTTGGGGTGTGTTGTTCCATAAAACCACCTTCAAATTTGACACTTTACTGGACCCAGGCTTAGGCAAGATTTCCCTTTCGGGGAACACGCAGGACTGTTAGTGGTCGTGGGTGGGCCCAAGCACAGGTCCCCCAAATAGGGACATTGAAGACCAGCCAGCCAGGGGACCCTAACCAGGTGCGAACAAACGCCTTCCAGCTTGCACCAAGGGGCAATCACGTGTGCAGCATCCGACAGGAGTTCATTCGTTAGAAGGTCGCCCAACTCAGCTCTACCACCGCTCAAGCGCTCTTTTGCTCGCTTCACCAAGCTTGAGGTGCAGTGATATCAGTTCACGACCAGTTTCGACTCAGAAGTCAACCACGGCACATTGGGGGAGGTGCAAAGAGCCTCAGAATTGTTGAGTGAGGCCCTGAGGGCCTCAACACTTGGGTTGAGAGAGCGTCAATGCGAAGGTTTCATGTTGTGCCCCTTAGAAAGGAGCGCCCCAACGACGCTCAAAAACGAGGGCTCACCGTTAACGGGGCACCTTGGCATCGGCTGGCCAGATCGGCCTCTGGCGAGCTGCACTCTTCCTGTGCAGAAGAATGGCCTGGGGCCGAGCCGCGGCGTCTACTTTGGCCGACCGTTTGATTGGTAAAGGGGGCTGTTCCCTCCCTGAATCCCATGGAAGAGCAAGCCTCCATGTAAGCTTGTCACTGTGTCCAAACAATTGGACCCCTAAAGAGCGGATGGAATCTTCTTGGTTTCTGGTTGAATCTACCGGAAAGGGGCTGCCCCCATTGGAAACGCAGGGATGTCCAAAGAGAAAGTGGGCCCACGACCAATGATTCCATTTCCGCATTCTGCTTCCGAGGTGGAGAGATCTCAAGTAGTGCGAACAAGCACATCTAACGCGCATGATAGGCATGTGCCGAAATAGGGGGAACCCCACCAGAAGGCGGTTTTGATGTTCCCTTGAACCAGCCAGACCAATATATCCAACAAAACACCCCCATGACAAACAGTCTTTACTCGGACAGCGTTCGGAGGTGAGCCTGCCCTTCAGGTGGAGGTGCTTGGCGACCGGTTTCTGGAGATCTTAGACACCTACCTCCCCTTCTTGTATGCTGCTGGCCCGGATCGGGTTTTCTTGCCAAGGCGACGGGCCCTGTTTTGGCTGGTTAAAACGTCCGCTTTTTTTGTCGCACTCTATGCGTGAACGTGCGAAAAAGGAGGGCTTTCCAGGCTTGAAGAGGCAATTTGCGGACAAATGTGGCCGCAAGTTTGAATTTGAGGCCACGAATGACCAGGCGGCGCGGAGCTGATAGTGCTTGCGGTGTTGCTTGCAAGCAGTAGACTCTGTCAGTCATAAAGCAAGCTTTGGCGAGGGTGTTGTTTTTCGGGCATTTGCAAGCTGAGGAAGCCTTCTATTTAGCGGATTTTCTTCATATGAAGACAAACTCATGGTGCCAGGAAGGTCCCAGCGGAGAACGCGCCGAGGATTTGGCGGAGCTCACGGTTTTTGCGCACCAGCTGGTGTGCCAGTATCAGCAAAAGACCGGGCCGTATCTACAAAAGTGGTCAGGACCTCAGCTCGTGGGAGCGTTCTCACCTCTGATGCCAAATCTTGTGCTTGGGGCTTGGGGTCATGAGGGTCACATGAGGGTCACATGAGGGTCACATGAGGGTCACATGAGGGTCACATGAGGGTCACATGAGGGTCACATGGCTCTTTTCGGGTGGCTCGATGCATGGCTCGAAACAAGCGGCCGCGTCAGGGAGCAACATGAAGACTCCTCGCCACGAGTATGAGCATGGTGTCGCCACACGTCACGCAGCAAAAGCCGTGATGGCAAGCAAAAGGCCAAGGCGTTTTCAGATTCCTGTGCCCACACAGCAGAGGTAGGTGCGGTGCCATGTGCTTGCAGCGGATGCTCCAAGATGTCCGAGGCCAGCCAGGCTTGGCTACATGGGCTTCGCGACATGCAACGCGGGGATGCAGATTGGCCCTCTCTTCTCGGGCTTGTTCAGCTCTCATCCACTATGAAGCCCGCCAGAAGATCATTCCTTTAAGCTGAAGATGAACTTTCAGGGGCCTCTAGTGGGAGGAAGGGTAGGTCAAAGCACGTGGTCATGAAGGCTCTCTTCAAGGTGAGACATGCCCCCCACTCAGAGTTTGTCAGCGGCAGCACGAGCCATCGGAGCGATCGCAAATGCCAGTGACCCAGCCAGGCTGAGGAAACTTGCAGACGCCCACTCACAAGAGGCGATTCCATTTCTATCATTCTGCTTGGCTTAACCTGGTTTTGGGCTTCTGGGCAAACCGAAACTTGAAAACTGAAGGCTATGGGTGTTTCTTGCCCCCAGACCAAGCAACCTCGTCAAGATCTCAAGGTGTTCAGCCCGCTTTTGCTGCCTCCCAAGAGAACAAGTCACCCGGAGGCACCCAGCTTCAGGATTCCGCCTCCGGCTTTTCGGGCTTCGGGACTGGATTGAGGCATGACATTGGGCACGCTCAACAAATTTCCAGTGGGTGCGCATCATGACTGGCCCCCAAAATGTCTTCGCTTCTCCTTGTGGTTTCTCCTCCACCCAGCAGTTCCCTTTGTGCGGGTAAGCAAAGGGGATGCCCCAGCACTGCCGGAGAAAACAAAGAGCAACAGCAGCAAGAAGCAACAAACCAATACACATCGCCCGGAAAAAAGAGAGAGAAGAGGTTTTTTCTATATATATAAATACAACAACAATCACCAAGCAACAAACAACACGCAGAAATACGCACTAAAACGCTGAAAAGGGTACCGAAAGAAGCAGACGCCCATGCGACCGCGAGGAGGCCAGGGAGCTGAAGAGCTTTCTGGAGCGGACCTTTGGCTCCACCCTGAAGGCCCGAGTTTCGAGCGCCTTCGCCGCGCCGCGCCGCGCCGGGGGGGCGAGATGGCAATGGTTCAAAACCCCGGTGCCCCGGTGAACACCCAGAAAGCCTTCTAAAAAGACAGCAGGGGAGTGGTATCCATCCCCATAAAGGCACCTTAGATGTTGACCCACAACCAGATGGGAAGGTGACGCGGCGTTGGGTGGAGCAGGGGGTTTTATTGGTTGATGCGCGCCGAGGAAGACTTGAACCCACGGGTCTCCCCTACGGAAATCCTCCCTGGGTTGAAGTCCCTGGGATAAACCCTGGGTTGGACCCGATGTAATGTGGGTAGCAATTGGTTGCCTTCACACACCACCAGGATTTCTCCGAATTGCAGGGTGGATTCCAAGATGCAATGGAGCCCCAAAGGCAAAAAGTGTATCATGAGGGCGATGGGTTCCCTTTTGCGCAAGTTGGCTGCAGGTTCCTATTGAAGCAATTGCTTGGTTTGCCGCCATGAGTTTTGGCAGTACAGGAGATTCTGATGGGGGCAGTTGGGCGGTGCCCGAGCTGTTCCGTTTTGGCTAGCAATTGTGTTTAACCAGTCCAAAGCTTGTTTCCTCTCTGGTTTGAATCGTTTTTTTTTGGCAACATGGTGGCTCATAGGCTCACCATGTGTGAAGACCGCTCAGATACGGCAGCCATGACCAGAAGTCTTGACCATCGATGCTTTTTTTGGATCTCGTTTAGTCACACATCGGGATCGCCTTGCTGGGATCACCCTTTTTGGGACTAACATAGCCCCCTCCTCCCCACCACTGGTTCACGTTCTTGTGGGGTCGGCCGTGGAGCTGACTAAGTCCCCTTGCCGGCACTTTGGCTTTGGGGTAAGAACCACACTGGTGTCAGACTTTGACTTTGGTTTCCTCGCACTTTGGGGAAGGAAACTTTGGTTTACATGGAGCTTCTTGCAGTCAAAGGCCAGTTCCAAGGGTTCCGAGCATGTTTTGGCCCACGCGGCGAGTTGGGCCGGGCGCCAGGCTTGGATCTCTGCCTTGGATGTGGACAATGCCCGGATCTCAGCCTACCACATATGAAGCGAAAAGCTACGTTACATTTTATTTTCTTAAATAATGTATTTTTTTTCTTTTAACTTGAACTTTTCAATGGAACACCCGAACTCGGCGGTTCCGTATTTGACTTTGAGAGGTTCAGAGGATCCACAAGATCAAGTTCAATGAGATACTGCGGAAGTTCAAGTATCCTGGCAACATCGCGCATCTCTTCAACGCCCTGGATGATGACGGCTCAGGGGCGGCCTGGCAGATATGATGCGAGAAGTTACTGGTGTAGGGTCCACCAAAACTGGCCATTGAAAACAGACAATGAGCCACACTCAGAACCTGGCATTGAGCAGGTTTTGATCGGAGCACCGGACAAAACTACCTGATTTCCACAAAAAGAAGCAACCATGCGTCAAAATGAAGTTTGAGAATGACATATGGCCCTGTACAGTGATGAGAGGAAGCGCCTTGTCAGTTTTATGCACCTTGTAAAGTTTGCTGCGCGCAAACCGTCGGGCGAGGAGCTGACGATGAGTGAGATCGATCCGGTGCAAGCAGCCGCTCACTTGCAACATCGCTCGCACGTCTGCAGAGAGAGCGCGAGAGAGACAGAGAGATAGATCCAGCGAGCAAGAGGGAAGGAGGGACCAGCTGGAAGGCAGGGATGCAGGAGAGGTTTTGGAGCCATGAGGCAAAGAAAAGGCTTCCATGATCTTTCCTCATTTTTTCTTTGCTTGCCCATTTTTTGTGGGCCAAGCAGTCAGTTGTGAAGCACTCCGGCGGCACAGGAGCTATGGAATCGTTTCCGGGAGTGGTGCGTGGCCAACTTTCGATCTGTGGATGAGCTGCTGACCAGGTTCCTGGGACGGTTGGCAACATGTTCCAGTTTGCCCTGTAAAAGGATTGTAGAGCATACTTTGAAGTACTGGGTTTGGGATTAAGGATCGACTAAGTTCTGTTTTTTTTGGCCAGGGTGTCGCAAAAGGCTGGTTGTTGTTTTGCTATGGGTGTAGCCTCTGTTTTGATAGTGGAGCTTCCAAACACCTTTGGGGGGTTCCTGAAGAGCAGGGCTGAGACGACCGGGTCGAGGTTCGGGAACAGCAACGAGGAGCGGTTGCGGCAGCGCCAGACCATCAAAGCCAGGTTGTCTGCCCTCACCGCGCCACGGACCAAAAGCGGTGCGGAGGGCACGCGTCGCTTTTGCGTTGAAGGGAAACCGAAAAGGACACCGCCATTTTTGTGGTCATTGACCGAAATCGACGGGACCCCCGTGTTGGATGGTTTGAAAGAGACACCAGAAGGAATCCAAGCACCTGGACTGGGTTCCTAATTTTCAGAAGACCGGTCGGTGGGGGGGTTCGCTCAATAGACAACTCACCAAAATGGGTGGATGTCTTGTGAATCTCCCGGTACAGCCACTCCGAAAGGGATGCCCTCACGGACACGAAGCCCATGTTGGAAGTTCACTTTTCAACCCTTCTGCTTGCTAAACAATCTCTTGAGACGCAGAGTGGTTGAGCCGAATACCTTGACTGTACTTTCTACTTTCCGCTGTGTTTCATCGTCTTTCTGGTTAGAGGCGTTTGTCCAGCTTGCAGTCTTTGGCATTGTTTGTGCGTGGCGCAATCTCACTTGCGACGGCGGCTCGGAGGCACTTGTTTGTGCGGACTGTGGTCTCGGAATTGTTGGCTCGCTTTGTTTCGGAGGGCACTTTGTTTTGCTTCAGGAGATGGATGTGTGCCCGAGGCTGACGCAGTCCATATCCAGTAGCACATATGATGATAGTTTGTGAGGGCTTGCAGTTGGGCGACCTGCTTGCTCGCCCGCCTCTCAGTGATCGCCTAAAATGCGCACCCAGCGAACTTAGGAGGCCCAGTTCCGGAAGCGGATGCGGGACATCGGCTGGCTCTTCGAGGAGGAGGAGCTGCTCTTCTTCGCGCTGGACTCCCAAGGAGAAGGCGAAGCCCGGGTGATTCTGCCAGCGTTCCTGAAAATTGCAGTGTGTAGGTCCCAACGTGTAGGTCCCAAGTGTACACGGCCAGGGGTCCTGCGGCGCGAAGACTTCCGGTGGCTGGACGCGGAGTTCTGGCGGATCCGGCGGAAGATGGAGGCGAAGAGCCGGTCCATACACTCCTTGCAGAAGATGCAGGCGGCTCGGTTGGACGAGTTGCGTCGCTACCCCCTTCACTTGATTTGTGTGTGTCTTCTAAAATGATGGTTGTCCGGTTGGTTTCTCTTCAAACAAAGACAAAAGGAACACCCGCAGTTGGCTGTGGCTCAATAGTAGGAGCATGCTAGGCGGTTTCGTTTTTCCCCAGCTTTTTGAGCCCACTTGGCTGTGTAGCTCAAAATATAGGATGGGATCGGGCGGTTTCTCGCGTTTCCGCTCGCTTTTTTGCATTTGCCGCCAACTAGGATATGGAGCTTGGTGAGTGGAAGAACCCAAGGAGAGTACCTTCAAAACAGAAACACTCGCTGTGGCTCAAAAGTAGAGTATCCCCAAACCCCGAGTTTATAGCGAAAATCTTGAGCCACACAAGTCCCTAATGCCACTTTGGTAGTTGTGCTCCACTTTTATGGAACGCCACACGCAACTGCCGGGTTGCAAGCAACACATGCACACCTCATCCGGCTTTTACAAGCAATTTTTGCACACAAC